TAAATAAGAAGACAACAATCGAAGAATGGCGGATTCGAGATCGAGGGGACGGAGAAAGAGAAACAAAAGGGAAAATAAAAATATTCGGATTTCGACGTTGTTTAAAAAAGTGACGCGTTGATAAATCACGACAGATCGAGCGGAACGACGCAGAAAAATGTCGCACTTGTTGCAGCTTTCCGCGGTGTTGCGATATTGATTGCGCTAATTGCCGGTCGAAGGAGAACCTGCCCTCCCTCCCTTCCCCCCTTCCGCCCCCCTCTTGGCACCGGTCGAAGCGAGAAAGACGATCACGGTGCACGAGATCGCGTATGCAAATGATAATTGTCGAGTTCAAGCACGCTGGAAAGATCAATTAATTGTGCCGCGAGGAGAACGTTACGTTGGTAGCTACACGGAGACACTGCCGTTTTATTATTATATCGAAACGAAGGGAAGGAAAAAAAAAAAAAAGAAAAAAAAAAAAGTTGGATATAAAAGTTGGATAATTAGGTATAAATTGATCGTTATTAATGTTTTGCAACTTTCGTTCAAATGTTGAATAATTGTTTCGTATTTTGTATAATATCGTGATAAATATCGTGATAAATAAAATAAAACAAAAAAAAAAAAAAAAAAAAAAAAAAAANGAGAGAAAAATAGAGAAACGATTCCTGATGTTCCTCGGGAATGCAAATGATTAAACGTGATTGAGCGAGGATTTTATTAAGAATTGTTTGAGTGACAACGATAAGTTTTTCTCCGAATTTAATTCTGATAAAAAAAGGATGGAGAAGGATCGTTCCAATCGTGGATAGAATATAACTGTGACGTGATAATTGTAAAAATCGTGGATGGATCAATAACGATTTTCGAACAAGATATTTTTCGGCCTCTTCTCTAAGGATCGTTTATTTTAATTGCGATATGGAAATCGTTGTTCCATATCTTGTAATTGTTGTAATTGTTGCAATTGTAATTCTAATGGATCTTTTAGAGATCTTGTAGAGATCGTTATTTTTTTTTTTTCCAACAGAACAAATATCTGACAAAGTATTTATATTTATTTACGAATACATTATTTCAGAATGATGAAACTGGGGAGGAAGGAAGGGGGAAAGAGGGGGGGAGCGACATTCCAAGTATTTTTTTTAATTAAACTTAATAAAAATAATTGCATCGTGGAAACGTGCTTATTCAAACACGTCGCGTTTTAAATTATACCAGTGTTCAAAGGTTATAGTCGTTCTAGTAATATCATAAGATCGTGAAATTGGTGTCAAACTACTAGTCGGCAATTATTATAAATGTATCACGGTTGTCTCTCTGCTCCCAATCGATTTATACCCTTCGTTCATTCTCTGTTTCTTCTCGTCGATCGATTATAACTCGTTCACGGTGAATATATCCCCCTCCCCTCGATCGACGAATCAACATTAATTCGATCCAATTCTAAACTTTTGAAACACATTGTACAAATTTCTTCTATCCCCTCCTCGATTCGATCGAAAGAATGCAATTAAAAAGCAGATAAATTTGCAATTCGTATGAAATTTTTTTTTTCACTATTTCTAGACGACGAGAATGCATAAGTAAAAAAAAAAAGTTGTTTTTTTGCAACAATCTTTTTATAAAAATATAACTTGTATAATTTATATTTATATCGCGTATATTATATCTCCTCTTATGCATTCAATATTTCATTTTCCATATTTTTTTTATCGATCGATGATCTTTCTCCCTGTGTAAGCATATCTCCGGGTAAGATATAAATTGAAATGGAATTGAATCTCCACGATACTCGCTACACCTCGAAGGATCTCCGTGCGTTCTCCGTGGACTGGGTTAAAAGTGTCCCGACTGCATATGCACGAGCAATTACGCGCGCGCATGAACCGGCCAATTAGACGGCTAAACGTTACGGTAATAGTCGAGCGATAAAAAAAAGAAAAAAAAGAAAAAAAAAGTACGGGAAAACGTGATTTGCAAAAATTTCGCGGCGAGCGGTGACGCGATTTAATGGCAAGATTAATTGGCCTTGTGCGGCGTGTTGCTCTTGTTATTGCTATTGACACCAGTCTGTTAACCATTATTTCGTTAATTTGTCTCTCCATTCTGAAATAAAATTTACTTGTTTGTATTTTAAAATATTGCAATTTTTTTTTTTTTTTTTTTTTTTTTTTTTTTGAGAGAGAGAGAGAGAATGGAAATAAGGTAGACTCGATAATTGTGCAATTTTGACAAGTCAAATATTAGATGTATGAATGCAAAATTAAATTATTCTGAATTTTTTTTAAACGTTCATCATTTCATTCGATGAATTTGAGAGAGGGCAACAAAAATTTTTATTCGATGGAAATACTTACTAGATATTGGAAGAGACGTGAGAAATATTTTCTTCGTTTTCATAGAATTCAAAAAAATTGGGACAAAGTCACATATAATGAACGAAACATATACAATAATAATGATAATGATAATAATGATAATAATAATAATGAACAAAAATATTCTTATAAAAATATAACTTGTATAATTTTTTAAAATGCATCGAGCAATCATCTTCTCAACTTTCCAAAAATTGATCACATTCCAAAAAAAAAAAAAAAGGGAAGGAATCATCGCTATCGAAAATTCAAAAATTGTAATAAAGTCACAAAAATGATAACGAACGTTTCAAAGAACGAAAGTATTTTTTTTAACAAATACCTTTTTTAAAATGCATCGAGCAATCATTTTCTCAACTTTCCAAAAACTGATCACATTCCAAAAAGAAGGAATCATCGCCGTCGAAAATTAAAAAATTGTAACGAAGTCACAAAAATGGTAACGAATGTTTCAAAGAACGAAAATTTTTTATTCTTTTTAACAAATACTCGCCAACTTTTTTAAAATGTATCGAGCAATCATCTTCTCAACTTTCCAAAAACTGATCACATTCCAGAAAAAAAAAAAAGAAGGAATCATCGCTGTCGAAAATTCAAAAATTGTAACAAAGTCACAAAAATGGTAACGAACGTTTCAAAAAACGAAAATTTTTTATTCTTTTTAACAAATACTCGCCAACTTTTTTAAAATGCATCGAGCAATCATCTTCTCAACTTTCCAAAAACCGATCACATTCCAAAAAAAGAAAAAAGAAGAAAGGAATCGTGGCGCGAAAAATATCATTTCTCAAAATATCTATCCTTTTCGATCTCATCTCATCTCATCGACTCGACTTGGAACTTTCTTCTCGCTTGGCTCCCGAGATCATCCCGGTGGCAAGAGGAAAAATGTGGATGGAAGGAAGGGAACAGCGAGATGATGGAGAGGAACACACGCACGCACAGAGGAGACGGATGCACCTGTAACTCGCGGCTCGATCTCGATATTGAGAACTCGCCTTTAATGACAGCCACTCGTAATGCAGGATCACTCGTCCTTGCAACCTGGCCAGGATCCTCGCCCCTCGCGCCGCGTGTTGCGCCAGTCTCTCTCTTTCTCCTCTTCTGTTGCGTGTTCACCTGTGCTCTCGACTGCGCACAATTCCTCATATCTCGAGCGCCTTACTGTTAATTATCACACTGGATCGAACGTAGATTCGAGTTCGATACGTTGAAAAAGTAAAAAAGTTGCTTTTCTTCGGGCTTGGGACGAAGTTTAACGTAACGTTTCTAAATCAGATAACAGCATTTTGAAAGATTCGAAAGTAATTTTGTTACTCTTCATGGATCTGAGAAAGTGGTTTTCCTTGGATTTTCAACGTTACGTTTGAAATTGAAGGGAACAGGTTTTTGAGGGTCTTGGATAATGGATTCAAAATTCTTTGGAATCTCGGATTCAAAATTTGAATAGAAAGATTTTCGTATCTCTAAAAGTTTTCGTATCTCTAAAAAATTTTAGAAACCCACAAGTGTTTCTTTCTATTTGTAAAGATATGATGTATGAACTTTATAATGCGATATTCTTTATTCTTAGATTAATAAGAAAAAAAAAAATATATAAAATTGCATAACTATTGTGTAAATTCGCATTAAATTTCATTAGGATTACGTTATCGAGTTTTATCATCGATGAATGTAAAATAAAACGTGCATTTTTGTTAAAGGCAAAAAAAAAAAAAAAAAGTAGAAGAAGAAGAATACAAACTACATTACATTTCCACGTAACTATAAAACTTTGTAGATCGAAGATCACTCGATCTATAATTAAACGGAAGTAAAATTTCTTGTAACTATTTCGCAATTTTTATTCCATTCCAACATTTAATTGACTCGTTATCTTATCGTTTAATTGTCCCAATGATTGGTAACAGAATTTCTCCAATTCTGTAACGCTCGTGAAATGAACGAACCAGTTTGACGAATAGATTATGTATATATGTTCGAGCGATAGTGACTTTCTAGTCTGACCAGTCACCATAAAACACTCTCGTAATGGCAACATTCGTGTTACATTTATACACAGATCTGTTGGTAAAAGAAATTTCGAATAGAAGATTAATGTTTTCCAAATGATTGCGATAATAACCGAGTTCCCTCGATAAGATTGGTCTTTCGATGTAAAATACGAATATCAATTTCTTTGCTTCTTTTTTTCCTTTTTTTTTTTCCTTTTTTTTTCTTTTTTTTTTTTTTACGACCAAAGAAATGGTGAAAATTAATCTTGGAAGATTTATTATTTCTGGATGATTCATTTCTTTAAATAAGAAATCGTTATACTTCTCAAGATTATGATTTATGAATTTATCGAAAGCGATTAGTTTTCAGTTTTATTTATTTATTTATTTTTTTTTTTTTGTTTTCAAATACAGTAATTGAGGATTGGAAATAGAGAATTGTCTTTTAACAAAATATTTATTATATCAAGATATTCCAAATCTTCTGCAGCTCTTTTTTTCTCTCTCTCTCTCTCTCTCTCTCTACTTTATCTCTTCCTTTACTTACGATTTTTCTCTTCTCTATGATTATACAATATGTCGAAATTTAACAAAATTTTCTTTCTAACGAAATTTATTTTTTTTTTTTTTTGGATTCCAGGTGACGAGCAATACCGAGGCGCTGGAGGATCCAGCAGCGGAAGTCCTCCAGCGAGTCTGCTGGTGGTTCCTCAGCCTTTGACCGTGAAACCGTCTCACCCCTCTCACCTGAACCCCCACCTGGGTGGACCACACTCTCATCCGCCGAGAAAGTACCAGTGCAAGATGTGCCCACAGGTGAGCCCTTGAAAATTTCACTTGATTCATTCGAATTTCACCTTAGAATCCGATTTACAATTTAAAATATTACCTATCGACGCTTCGATACCAAAATAATAATAATAATAATAATAATAATAATAATAATAATAATAATAATAATATATTTCGTAATAATTGCAACATTTCGAATCTCCTCGAAATCAAATAGTGTTTTCAAAAAAAAAAAATATTTTCCAAAAAGATCTTTCTCATCTTCCGTTCCTTCCAACGCCTTGAAAAACTATCGAAACTACGATTGCTGGATCCCGTCTCGAAAGAAAATTCTCATAGAAGATAAAAAAACGAAAAAAAAGAGGGGGGAGGGGCGGGGTGGAAAAAAATGCAGGAAAGCACAGGAGAAAGAAGGAATCGACAACAGAGTCAAGGGTGCAATTAAACTGTAACTGGACATTTTTTTCTCCGTTCTGAGCCCGATAATGGCGTCGTTTTATGGCGCTTCAACCCTTTACGGTGTCCCTTCAAGCCTCGTACGCACGGTAGCGGCTGATTTTTACCGCAGGTACTCGCGAACCAACGATTCAACAAAGCCACGAGGGTTATTCGCCTCTCGCCACTGTTGTAAAACACCGGCCATTCAGCTGACAACCACTTCCCCCCTCCCTTCTCCTTCTCCTCCTCCGCTTCTGGTGCAACACGCGGAGAGACCTCCCCCTCCTACCTTTCCCCCTTTCTAATTTACTTCCTTCCCCTATTATTCCTCTTCCCGCCAGGAATTGATCCTCGTCACCAGATCTCTCTCTCTCTCTCTCTCTCTCTCTCTCTCTCTCTCTCTCTCTCTCTCTCTCTCTCTCTTTTTCTGTCTTGTAATTCGGTTGGAAAAATTTGATTTCGTTTCATTTTCGTGCGAAAAATATTCGTGCGACACATTTTCAAAGTTAATCGATCCCTCGAAGGAATATTTTAATTTTTAAATCTTCTCTCTCGGTCAAACGACGACGAATTCGACTCATCTCGACTGTTGAAAAATTGCTCGATCTATGAGAAGGAAGAGCGGGGAAAAGATTTCCAGATCCATTTTTTTTTTTTTTCTTTTCTTCATCCTTCGATAAATTTTTTTCCCTTCTCGTGAACGTCTCATTCTTCCGCGTATCGATTTTATACCTATTCGAGTCTCCCTTCCCTCCCTTCCGAAAGTCGATGACGTCTCCTAACCTTTCTCCTCTCCCTCCTCCTTAGGTAAAGGAAAAGGGTTGTTTCTCGAAATCGAGCCGTCTCACGGCCAAGAATCTCGCCGTTTACACCTTGTAAATCCAACGACAGAGCGGCGGATTAGCTCGTCGAAAGGCTAAAAGGGGGATTACACAGCTTATCCGGCGTGGTTAATCGCGAAAACACACGAAAACACGATGGAGAACGATAGTGTTTGCGATTGCCAGTGTCAAAGAGGAGTCAAAGGAATAAAGAAATGGATAAGGAAGACAGGTTTTTTTTATTTCTTTTCTTTTTTTTTTTTTTTTTTTTTTTTTTTTTAGGAATAATTTGAATCGTTTAAGGTGCAATTAAAGGTTTAGGTTTTAGAGATTGTTGTCTTATCGAATGCACCAACATTGACCAGTTTTATTGCCGGTTTCACATTAATGGATACGTTTTCAAATACTTTACCAACGACAATAAGTCTGGGGATATCTGTATTAAGAGATTTTTGTCTTAATATTGGGTACTAATATTTCTTTAATAATATAATTGGATTATTGGATTATTTTTAGTTAGATTGGAGATCGTTGTTTGTCAAAAATCTTGTTTACTTTTTTACTTTGCAAAAAGTCTCTTCGTTGTACATTTTCCGGCTGAAATTATTTTTTTTTTCTTTGAAATTACAGATTAAAATTTTAACTGTAATTTGAAACAGTTCTTTGTTCCAATATTCCAATATTTAAACGTATATAATCGTATCGCTATTGCGAAGGAAAAAATCGTACGCGAATCGATATAAAAATTATTCCAATTTCTTGTAACTGGGGGATAACAAGATTCTCATTTTTTCAACAGGGAAAAAATTTAAATCGAAAGAATGATAGCCGTGTAATAGCTGAAGCTGAAAAAAAATGAAATCTTTTAGCCTGTTTCAGCAGGTAGCGCAAGGGTTAAGAGGTGATTTTTTAAAAGTTGAGTCGTTTTTCCACCGCGTTTACGACCGGATTTCTCGGGTACATCCAACTCTTTAACCCTTTCCCCTTCGGTTGTTTGCAAATTAAAAAAAAAAAAAGAAAAAAGTCCTCTAATCCCTTAAACTGCCTCGAACGACGACTTATATAAACGTCGAGGTCCACTTATGTATTTTTCTCTTCCCATTTTTTTTATCCCTCCATCTCCGTGTCTTTATAATTTAAATACACTCGATTGCAACTTCTCTCGCAACGGAATAAGCCTCTTTCTCGCTTCGTGCGTCGAAAGACGTAATAGAAGAAGAGAAGGAAAGGAGAAGAAACGAAAAAGAAGGAGAACTCAAAATTGAAACGAAATATCGAAACATCGAGGATAATTTTATAAAGAAAGGAAATTAAAGTAAAAAAAAAATTTCGAAAAAAGAAGAAAAGTCTCGTGAAGAAATCGAAATTAAGAAAAATCCTGTTTAAAAATATGGCAGAAACAAGAGTGTGGAAAAAGAAAGAAAGAAAAAAGAGTAGCGGGAAGGAAGAGCGAATCGATCGAAGGAAAAAACTGATCGATCGATCGTTCGAAACGGAGGCGTTTGAAGCGGCGAGCAAAGGATAAATCCACGTGCATAGAGAAGAGAGAAGGAGAGGAAGGTGGATAAAGTGCATGCAGCGAAGGACGCGCAACATACCATAAGATAGATCGTTAAAATTTAATGATATTCACCGAACGGTTATAGAATAGGACAGATTATCATAGGCCGGAGGCCAGTGAAACGCATCGTGGCTGATCTGACACGTATATCTTGCCCGTTTCCGTTGAAAAACAACAATTATTGCCTGCCATTAAGCGCGAATGGACGATAGAAGACCGCGGTTAGAGGAGCAGATCTCGCTTCGCGCGAGCAAGCGAGACGATTTTTATGCGCGTTCATTACCTCGATACCAGAATCGAGGAGAGAATTTTTCGAATTTTCACGATCGAGGTTAATCGATGCGAAATTCGAACGCGTGAAAAAGTATGGATGTGGAGAAGGATATGTCGTTGAGCATTTTTTTTTTTTTTTTTTTTT